GCGTTTTCATCCATCAGATTACATTACTTGACGGTTTAACATGAATCTTTAAATTATACCAAGATGAATACACTGTTAGAAATATTACCGTCGCATTTCTGACTGGATGGCGGCAGATTATTAATTGAGGCTCCAGGAAATCTGAGTGATCCGACCTAATGAAAAGCGATTGATTTTAAATGCCGCACCTATTGCAAATTCTTGATAGTTCATCTTTGTCGGTAGGTAATTATTCTACTTTTTTTCCAAACTCGTAAATTCTATGAAAATATTACTAGAACAACGGAGCTTCCTCAAAAGAGGAACATTTAGTACGGTCAATCAATACAAAGGCATTGCTTAAGTCTAAAGTTAAGCCTAGCTCGCAAAAGAAGGTATAAATATTACAGTGATCTGTATTAGGTATACAAGCTTATATCAAACTAAATCAATGATCAATTTTCGGAATCAAGAAACTATTTTGTTAATTTTGAAAATTTGCTCCTGTTTAAGGTGACTTTATTACCAATGTTAAATACTATGGGGTCATTTACTCGAAAATGAATGAATGAACTTCAAAGTAATGAATTCCTACAAATTTATTTTAAATTTGTATGATATTCCAATAATGAAATTAATGGAAAATTGGGAATTATTTTTAATGGAAAACTAGATTTTAACAAACCCATCCTAATCCTAATCAAGTAACGGATCTTCAAAACAAATCGAAGAGTGCTTTGATTATGAAAACGTACGTCGCATTATTGTTTCTTTATCGTCATGGCGTTGCTTGCCTTCACAGCCAAGTTTTTATTGTGAGGAACGAAATAAGCTTGCTGTCCAGCCCGACGCCCAGATAGGTACATACTTAATTTCTATTTTTGGTGAAATAGTTCTTCCCATGATGTTCAAGTTCTTGTGAAGCACTGGAGGTGAGAATGATCGCCGAGCATTGCCTGTTTTATCTTGTTTTCCTATAAGGATATGCGGAAGATTCAGTAGTTCGTCGTGAAGGATGTTCCACAGGGTTGGCACTAGGACCGAACCCTGCGAAACCCCGCAGGCCATGCAAAACAAAAAGCCTCCTTCTAGGATTATAGTCATATTCGTGAAATAGTCCATAAGATTTATGGAGTAAGGCGCGGCGTCTCTCAGTCTCTCTTCTCCAACTCAGTCACAATGGCTTGCCATGAAGCAGAGTTGAAAAGCGTTTTTGACGTCCATGCCGATCTCTCTGTGTCTGATACTTCTCTTGAATAGAGGTCTGATGGTATCCAGTGCCTTAAGTAAGTGGGTAAGTTAGACAGTGCCTTAAGTAAGTAAGTAAGTAAGACATCCTTTTCTGAATTCAAACTGCCTTGCGCTTAGTGTTTCCGATAAATTTATATCCTAGCGAGGATGACATGCTCTAGGAGTTTGCTTCTTGAGTTTAACAGGCATAGTGGTCTAGATTTTGGATTCTAATTTTTGTTTTATTTTCACTTTTTGGTTTACCATAAGCACGAATATTGATGTCTTCCACGGACGAGGGAATATCCCTTTCGTTAACGAGTTAGATAGGGTCTTGAAGAGTGATTTAGGTTCCTTTGCTGCAATCGGTTCAAGGATATCAGCTGGTATGCCATTCATGATTTGGAGGCTTTATGTCAATTCCAGAAATTAGTGAAAAAGCCCATTGGCTTATTAAGCTTTTCTCGTCTCCGCTTTTTCTTTCACATACCATCTCAGCCTGCCTTCGTTACTGGGCCTGATAAGTATACCATCCTGCAGCTCGAAAAAAATGTACCCTTGATTACTCAAGGATTCTAGCTCCAACTTGCTCCAAGATTTAATCCAAGCGTTGACGTTGCTTCTCGACCAGTGATCACTCAAGGATTCTAGCTCCAACATGCTCTAAAATTCAATCCACGTTGCCCCTCGACATGATCAGGGCCCGGGTTCCGAACCCACAATTCGATAGTGTTGCAGAAATAATCCACAACAGGTTTAATCTTTATCATTTCTAATTTAATATATCTCAATCTCTATTATTTTCCATAAAAATAATATTCTAAAAATAGATGCTATTGCTGGACTATTTATCCTGTAAAACCGGCAACAACAACCCTTTGAACCGGTAAAATCGCAGGTTTCTTCATTACCTTATAAGGTAGTGAACCTGTCTCGCTGCTGTGATTGGTCAGCCGCCACACAAAATCCCTAGTTTTTGCGATCTGCTCCCCTGGCAGAGTCTAGTCGACACACATTTTTCAGTACTATTAGAATAAGCGAAGAGTTCGCACTATCGCGCCCTCTGAATGCTCTCCAGGAGCAAAACCACCGTTAGTACGCGCGATTTATAGTAAAATACTACTCTCTGTGTCTCAAGGCCTGACATGGTCTATATTATTGATTACAATTCATGTAATTAACCCTTTATTATTACAAGTCACCTCGGACGAGCAAACTTCTCTCCTACGCTTGTTTTTGGCTCTCTCTCTCACTCTCGCCGGGCTCCAACGCGCCTGTATATCGTTGTGTTTTCAAGTTTTCATCTCAGTGGAAAATCCCTAGCTGCTAGTGCGAATAGTGATAAATGGATAAATAATCGCCTTGTGGATTTATCTGTATGAACCGGATAAAGCAAGTAAGACCGTTACAATTTCTCTAACAGTCGAACAATAAGTCAATAAATACTGATTAGTGATTCGCTTGAAATGCACTATAATTGAAGTGTTTTCTAACGTTTAATGCAGAAGTTTGGTTTTCACACTCGTGAAATTAACATTTGTACATTTGTATATAGAAACTGAGCATGTATAAAGACTTTTCTTGCACATATTGTTTACAGACTTCCGCAGAAAAGTGCTTAAATTGTTAACTCTCAATAAATAAAAGAACTTTCAAGGATCAATAAACATTTTGTGATTGCAGTGAACTAATTGAAGTTGACGAATTATTTATGTTGTGCTCTCGTGCATTTAATTAGTTAATTTGTGTTTTCGTTCATTGAACATTTAACCATAAATGATGTTATTATCATTATCAGATTTCCCTACCTTTTTATAAATCAAGATACTCATTTACTTTAGATTAGTATAAAATTTGTAGTTCGACTGGACGACCAATTAGGAATTTTTAGATAGGATTTGATTGCTGACTATACCGAATTACTTTCATTTATTAATTAAATTGATAATTATTCTTTTTCAGCGTTTTATTTGTATAAATGAGAATCAAGGCACCCCTAACCCAATACGAGGCTTAAATGATCCAAAACCTAGTGGTTAATATTGGGAAATGGACTCAGAAATAAAAGAACTTTTTAATTATCGATATTCAATATATTTATTATATCGAACACAGCGTGGAAAGCAGAGCGTGTGAACTCATAGAACTAACTATAGGAACTGACTCACATCGAAAAATAAAGAATTACAAACCCTTTCTTAAGTAAACGATTCCTCATCTGTTTATCTTACATATAAAAACTATTATAATCACGTTCAGTCATCCATAGCTGCAATATAAATTAGCAAAGTATAGGCTTATAATCAAAGTTTAATTTATTAATTTTTGGTTCACTGATATGAATATCAGTTTATCCAACAGTTAATTTTCACAGTCGGTCAAAGTAAAAACTTTTCGCATTCCTGGTGCGGTTTGACTAAAGCCCAAAAAGGGGCAATAGCTAGTTTCCGTCACAGATAGTATCGTCTATCGTCAGATACGCACTTTTGCAAGCTTGACGATAGACGATACTATGAAATCGTGGGTCGGAATCCGGTTGCAGGTCTACAATCGAGGTGGCTTCCTCTCTTACGAATGCAGGAGTGTTGCCATTGTTTTGAAGAACCTGGTTGTATGTTGCCATCCATTCTAATAATGTATTGCCCTTTACGTTGGTAGCGCGCCTGTCACAGTCTGTCACCCAGGAATTGAAATCACCTGCGATAATAAAGTCTTTCGGGAATCTGTCCAGAAGCTGTCCAAGGGCGTCTAGGGATTGGCTGAAAGCCTCCGTGGTAATGCTAGGAGCAAGATCATGATATAGTCTCTCCATACAAAACCATAACCTGACCAAAAATTCAGGTACCTAGGCGATTTTTATGGTTTTGGTTCAGAGATCAGGATCATGTCTGCGTCCAGGTTGTCCGCCGTTATGTTCAAGAGGCCATGAGATGGGCGACACCTGTTCATATTCAGCTGTAGAAACCTTAGGTGTCCAGGATTCCTGTAATAGTCTAGGTCATAATTGTGTGGGTTGTGCGGCATTTTCTACAGATTATAAATATGTGTGCTCCGTTCACTGATCTGGGGACTCGTTCCCTTCCCCCGGTTCTTGCAGTGTTTGTTTTTGGGGTCTTCTTGTGGGGTATAACTTTCCTTTCTTCTAAGCGAAATGGCCCAAGAGAGCCCGCCTTGACGGTCACTGTATCTGACATTTCATAAACATCTTCAATATCTCTCTTCATATGAGGTGGCCGTTTGTCGATCACCGTTCCATCGGAGAATCCTAGTGGTCCCAACAAAGCTTGAAATATTGGCCCGCGACGTCAATGAAGTGAATGTTTTTTTTTTAGATTGGACAGTAAGGCGATCAGTTATTGTGATATAGTTTTAAGAATAGTAAAGCTTACATAATTCTTCAAGTAACTCAAACTGTTGTAATAGCGCTTGTGTTTTTCATGATTTTTTTGTTGGGGGTTGGAAAAGGTGCAACAAATTTTGTAGTCTTGAACCAAAGAACACTTTTTTCCGAACAGTTTATTCAATATGTCAATTATTATTGCATGCCATTGCACACAGCCGTGAAAGTGGCCCCTGATTATAAAAACGTAAAAAAGGGAATTACACAACCTGCATACGTTTTCAATCATTACCTATCTAAAATGTCTCACCATCACCATGAAAGGGGATTATCTTTTCAATTTCATAATCCACTATGTAAGTGGATGCATTATGATTTCTACTCTTATCTATACAATCCATTTTAAAATTTTGGCTTTTTATATTTTACCACACAAATAGATACTAGGTAGGTTTATTTGAAACTGCAAAAAAGCACGAATATGTTTTGTTTCCGAACGAAATCTGGGAAAGTAACGCTAGTTAAGATAAAAAATATTGAAAATGACTCTGCAGAGGAGCTACCAATTAAAATAGCACCTAGAAGAGATGCATATGCTTCCGTGCCAATACAAGCAAACGAAAGTTTAGAATTGCGAACCTATCCTAAGTCAGCTAGGTAAGTAAAATTAGGAAGTTATCAAACCTTCTTAGTGTTTCGATTTTTTGTTTTTGAAGCGATGAAGAGTCAATGAGAAAAGCATTAAAAGATAATGAATTTTTAAATAACATGTTATCGGAAGAAACTATTGCATTAATAATTGATGCAATGGAATTAAAAACAGTTGGTGCAAATGAAGTTATCATCAAACAAGGAGAAAATGGAAATGCCATTTATATCTCATCAAAAGGTTCATTCGAGGTTGAATCTAAATTTCTTTTCACATTTGATTTCTAATTCCAATCAATTTTTTCCAGGTTTTGATAAATAAAAAGCAATATTCAAAATTCAATGATATAAGAGTTTTTGGAGAATTAGCTTTAATGTTCGAAAAAAAACGCTTGTCAACAATAAAATCCCTAACGGGAGGAGCAGTATGGCATTTAAATAGAAACATTTTTTTCACAATATTAGCCAGAAACAACATTAGCAAAGACCAGGAACGGTTTAACTTTTTACAAACTGTAGAAAAATTGAAAGACATACAGCCTGCAACATTGAGAATTGTGGCCAATTTACTGAAAGATGAGTTTTTCAAAACTGGAGCTACAATTATTAGAGAAGGTGATTTTCAAATGTCATTGCTAATTTAATAGGTAAACAAAATAACATACAATTTTCTAGGAGATTCTGGTGATCTTTTTTATGTGATAAAAGCTGGTTCTGTAACTGTATTGAAAGAAAGTGAAGGTTTTGTGAATAAACTATCAAAAGGTGACTGTTTTGGGGAACTGGCATTACAAAATGAAGATATTAGACAAGCCAGTGTTACTGCAAATGCTCCGGGTGTCCAATGTCTCACACTAAACCGAATCGATTTTCAAAATTATTTCGGAAATATAAAAATTACTGAAATTCACGTAGAAAAACTGAAATCTATCAATGAAACACAGCCAGAATATATGGATATTCGCTTAAGTGATTTAGTAATTATTGGAGCAATGGGCAAGGGAGGATTTGCTACTGTTAGTTTGGCGAGAGTGAAAAAGTATGTGATACTCCAGTTGGAAATGGATATTTTGTAAATTTTTTTTGATTTTAGGAAAAAACACCTAGTATTTGCTCTAAAACGAATGACCAAAATTGATATTTTATTGGAAGAAAAGCAACAACATGCAATAAACGAAAGATATATTCATGTAAGCAGATTTTTTTTTTAACTGTATGTGTTCCGTCGATCACAATTATTTAAGAAACACTAAAAATAATTTCCATTGAACTAATAACTCCGTCTTATATGTTTTTGAAAATATGTCTATTTCAGTTAAACAGTATCTCACCGTTTGTAGTCCGACTTTACAGGACATACAGAAGCAAAAAATACGTCTACTTTTTAATGGAACCGTGTTTAGGTGGAGATTTATTTAATCTTCTAGATCAACAAAAAAATAGGAAATTTCAAAGAGACGATGCCCAGTAAGTCCAGTAATCACTATTAGCCTATTTAAAATATTACCTGGATTTATGTATTTTTTCAGGTTTATAATTGCATCTGTCCTAGAAGCCCTCTTCTATCTCCACTCGAGAGGAATCGTACATAGAGATTTGAAACCAGAAAATGTGTTTATTGCTAATAATGGATATTTCAAACTGGGTGATTTTGGATGTGCAAAGAAATTAGATCCAACTGGTGGAAAAACGAATAGTTGTGTTGGTACTCCCGAGTATACTAGTCCTGAAGTTATTTTGGGTGAGTGAAAAAGCTATTTTCAAAAAATTAAAATTCATGAAGTGTTTAGTTAGAGGGCACGATAAAGCTGTCGACTACTGGGCAATAGGAGTTTTAATTTATGAACTATTAGCGGGAAAAACTCCGTTTCGTAGCAACACTGCCCTTAGAATTTATCAAAAAGTTTTAAGAGGAATCAATTCAACAAATTTTCCTGTGGACTTTGATGTTGATGCTAAAAAGTTGATAATGAAATTTTGCATACTAAATCCTTGGGATAGAATGGGAATGTCCAGGGATGCCATTGAGAGGATTAGAAATGATAAGTGGTTCAAAGGTAACTAAACTATTATTGGTAGGTGGTATTTATTTATTTATTTCCAATTACAGATTTCAAATGGAATGATTTGGTTGAGTGCAAAATAAAATCAAGGTTTAAACCAAATTTGAAAAGCAATACGGATTTGTCCAATTTCCAAAAAATACCAAAAGGTTATTTCGAAGATCCAGCTGATGAAATGTCAGGATGGGATAAAGATTTCTAGGAACTTGATTATATGAGTATTTTGCGACTATAAGATATAAAAATATCAGCTAATAAATAGGCATATTTAAAAATATCAACGGTTTGAATAAGCTAGTTAATATTATCAGAGTTTTTGTGAAATTTGGACGAATTCTTGTTAGGTTGAGAAAAGTACGATTGCGCTTAGTTCACGAATTATTTTTTAGCTTAACATGAGTTGAAAGTAAACTTGACCGTCAGTTTGAAATATTTCAGTTATTCCAGGGCGATCAGAAAGATGTCAATTCATTGTACTTTTGATCATCGCAACCCATTTCTTACTGATGCGCTCATGTGGCTTTTCGTGCAGTGCAATATCGATATCTATTGCCATATTCCGACAATCGCGAATTGAACAAAAATTAAACCAAAACTGTGGTAATACGAAATGACAATATCAAAAGTTGAGCATCAACTTTGACGATAACTTTACGACTAAACAGAGAAAAACGCCTTGTTCAACTGGACCTTCGTATTGTGATCTACCGTTCAAAACATTAAAAACAGCTCTTAGTTCGAGCCCAAATCTGAGCAATCCACAAGAAAAATTTGTCGCCAGTCGACCAAATCCTGCACTGGGTAGTCTTAAAAGGAAACGTGTGGTTCTCATGTTTCCAAACCATCGAGAGAATATGGGAAAATTCACAGAAATACTAAATGCAGAAATGGTTGGTTTGCAGCATGTGACAATTTAATTTGTGCTGATGAGGTGAGGCTGATCATACTCTTTCGCCGGTTTACAACGTTAATTTCTAATCCGCTGGTATCTTGGCCAACTTTATTGGATTTCGACTTGAAATTGAAAATGGAACAAAATAACGTTGACCCCAAATTAAAATATTTATATACGTTCAAAATTTTATTATTTAGTCACCAAGCGTGATGTCATCTCCTAAATCAAATCAATGAACTTGTTAAAAGCGAGGCCAAAGTAATTAAATAGGTGATTTATGGCCGCACGTGTTTTTCGGCTTTCTTTGTGTTGTCCTCACATTCTTAAACCAAATCTGTTGACCCCGATAAACCAGGAAATTGCGACATAATTATTCGATTTTAAAGAAATAAAAGAGGAAGGTTATTGAATGATGAAATTAAGAATTTTTGGGGGAACGAAACCTATGAATACAGCGGTTTTAGAAGTGGAGTACCAGTTATCAGTTGAGTTGAGTTTAAGTTCAGTCCAGTTTGAGTTAAAGTCTACAGTACCTAATGAGTCAGTCCGGATAAAAATTCGCGAGAGTTTCTTTTATTTTTGCCTCGAGGAAAACGCGTTTGATTGGATCTTTGAAAAAGTAACGAAAAATTGTGAAAAAAAGAACATTTTAATTCGTTCAACATTATGTGCGAGCTCTAGAGATTTTTGAAGTAAATTAAATTAAGTAATTTTACGTGTGAAAAGTTAAATGTAAGTACTCTAGTGACTAGTAAAACTTTTTGACTTTATAAATCATGAATGAATATGAAGTGAATTACCTTTGGAGCTTTATTGCATAAATATTAATAACTCGAGTGTTTTGACTATAGAATATTATTGCATAAATTTAATTGCCTTCGAGTATAATGGCATTTTAAATCATTGTGCAGAGAATTAACAAAGGAAAATTATAATGCTCTTAGTAATATTTGATTTTGAGTAGGAATTATTAAAGAATTTTGAATTGGATTGTCCAATTGAAGTTGAAGGGCTATAGTAACGAACTAATAAGAATTTAAATAATTGTGTATGTTGGCTAGGAATTCGAAAATAGTAATTGTTCTGTTTAAATTGATCCTTAGTAAAAGAATAAATCATTAAATGTAATGGGAAATTTTGACAAGAAACTTGTTGTTCATGAAATGAGATTGTTGACCTTAAGTGCTGAAATTTTGAATTAGGGTCTTTCCATTTAGAAATTATTGTAAGGTTTCTATAAAAATATAGTTGATAATACATATGTTCTTAATTCAGTGAGTAGGATTATGATTTAAATAATTATTATGCATAAGCTGTCAGTAAATGACTTAGGAGTTTTAAGAATTTATAGATGTAGGTGAAGGGTAGTTTTAATAGGAATGTGAATCGGAAGTGTTGTTAAAAAGAGTAAATGTAAAAACGTAGAAGTTATTAAGAATAGAAGAAGTAGGGCGTTATTTTTTTTGTATGGATATTTCCTGGTCCGTAGTAATGAAATTTGAATGGATGTGAAATAATTTGAGTTGAGGGAAAAATAGAAGTGGCTGTCAGAATAGAAAAATACTTGCTTATTTAAATTTTTGCTTTTAAGTATAATAAAATATAATTTAGTAAACCTTGATAGTTTGTTTCTCTCTTTTGCGAATAGAACCCCTCCACAATTTTATAGGCAGCCGCTCAAGGAAATAAACACCATCAATATACCGCTCGCCATTTACCATCTAAATAATTAAATAGAGTACTTGAGTGCGTTTTGCTACAATATTGACTGCATACTATTGATATTAACTGTTTATTATTGATATTAATTAAAAACTTGTTTTGGTAATAACCGACTTTGATTTGGCTCACCAGACAGTGTTTTTGCTGTTTCACAGTTTAGGAAGTGCAGAAGGTCGATTGGTGCCAATAAGATTCAGGGACTTTCTAGCTTAGGTCGTCATCCGGCTGGTGGCGCTAACTCACCCCACTTTTCGAGTATTAAAGGGGCTACGGGCCTAATTTTCCACGAAACAAAGACCACTTATTGGCTTCTGCATTTCAGATTTCAGATTTCCAGTCGAATACAATACTTTGATTCGAATTAAAAATTATATTGATTAATTACTCCAAATAACTAATTAAACATCTAAAATCGTGGCAAACATAGACTTTGAATAACATAAAAAAAAAACAACAAATATGAGACATACTGCCGTATTCATGAACAGTAATTAACTTTTTCATAAATAAGGGAGTAACTCCCATATTCATGAAAAAATCACAAACTACCCAGTTAACTAATTGGTTGTTAAGTTTTAACAAAGAGTTAGTATTACTTATGCTATTCAACATGGTTTTTAACCAAGCCAGTCCTAACAGAGTGCCATGAATACCAAATATGCAAGTTAACCAGTTATTAGATATTTAACCAACCATTAACAAGTTAATTACTGTTCTCTAATACGGCGGTTAATCAAAACTTTTGGGAAATAGGCGAAATTCTAAAAGAACGTGTAGACACTCGAAGCTTTTATATAACTCACATAACACCAAGCATCTAATCATATTGAAATAGCAAGGATGAGAACTTCAACAATCAATCCATAAACTCTCCTAATCATACCTTGAATATATGGAGGAAGTTTTGTAGACAACGTAAACACCTGATATCACAAGACTAGACAAAACACACGCGGGGGCATACCTTTTCAAAATATTTCTCCCTTCAGCAATTCTAATGGGGAATCAAATTATGCAAAAGAAGTGATGGAAGCTATGTACGAGACTAAGACAAAGCAGACAAACAAACATAAAGCTACAAAAAAAAATATTAGAATTATACCGAAGATATTGACGACAGAATAGGGAGAGTAGAATAATTTTAGAAATAATTCGAAGAAATTCTCTAGCTAGGACAAAAGCCTGAAGTGCCCCTGCAGGCTTCAACTTGGTAACCTTTTTCTTATATCATCGGCATTTCCAGATTCCAGGCAATTATTAGAATCGAAAAAGTATCACGTCCACGAATATGGTTATGAGGAATGAAAATAATATTCAGCTTTCTTGGACTAATTTATTAAATTTAAAAATCAAATAGCCAACGTTTCGATGCTGGTTAGCATCATCATCAGGGCTGCAAAAAACGAAACAATACAAGTTTAACAAGAAAAAAGGACATTAACATCAGAAAATTTAAAAAAATTAAAAAAATTTAAAAAAAATTTAAAAAAATTGTTGTTTAACTAATGTTGTGTATGTACGTTAATGTATTTTACTTTTATAATGAATTTATTTAAGGACTAAAAATACGTACAAATAAAATGACAATTTTATACAATGATAGACATCCGGACATCAGTACCAGTTACTGGTTATAACAAATATTCAACAAGGTAAAAAGGTATGATAAATAAAACTAACTAAATAAGAACATAACATCTCCTTTCCCCCTAACTATAAAACTAAACGTGAAGGAGGCTGTTTAATTCTTGTAGAACGTCTGGGGCCATTTTCAGAACACAAATTTTTTTCATTTGATGATGTTTTAGTACATGAACATGAAGTTTCAGAATTTGGTAATGTCGCATCATTTGGTGAAATATTTGAATTATCGTTATTTATTGAATTGGCATGTGACTTAGTCGGTGTTGATTGTCCTATTTCACGTATCTGATTAATATGTCTACGCCATACTCTTCCATCGTCAAGTTTAACTGAATAATGTAACTTGCCTATTTTTGTTAAGACCTTTCCGAATCTCCATTTTTCATGAAAATAATCTCTCACTGATACCCTAGCTCCTATGCATAAAGATCGGTACTTCTTATTCGCATTTAAGCTTGGGTCATTAAAATATGTGTCCGGTTTCATACAGTCCAATCTAGAACGTATTCGCCTTCCAAACATCAGTTGTGATGGGCTTTCCCCTGTGACTGAATGAGGCGTTTTACGATACTGTATCAAAAATCTTGATAATTCAAGGTTACTATGACCTTTTGAACACATTTTTTTTAAACTATTTTTTAAAATTTGTACGAAACGTTCCGCTTGTCCATTAGTAGCGGGGTGGTACGGAGCCGTTAACTTTTGAAAAATACCATTTTCTTGAAGAAATTGTTTAAATTTATAAGAAGTAAAATTTGATCCATTATCCGAAACAAAAATTTTTGGAATTCCAAATGTAGCGAAAATTGTACGACATTTTTCTATAGTTGTTTCTGTCGACATGTTTTTAACGAAATGAATTTCAGGCCATTTTGTAAATGAATCTACCAAAATAAAGTAATATCCGCCGTTAAAAGGTCCCGCGTAATCTGCATGAACGCGTTCAAAAGGTGTATTAGATTTTTCCCACACATGAGTTTCCGCTTTTTCTGCGTTATTTTTTTGTTTATTACATTCATAACAATTTTTAACTAAAGTTTCAATATCGTTATCAACTCCGGACCACCAGCAATAACTTCTTGCTAAACTTTTCATTTTAACGATTCCAAAATGAGCTGAATGAAGTTCGGAGAGTACTCTCTGACGTAGCACTACGGGAATTACTACCCTCTGTCCACGCATGATACAACCCGATTGTAATGAAAATTCTTCTTGGTCAATATTGAAACGATCATCTTTAGCGACAATGTTACCTGTGCTCAAACCCGTTAATAAATTCAATAATGAAGTATCTTTAGATGTAGCATTTGATAAAATTTCGACCGTAACTGGTAATGTTTCAATTTGGCTAATTTCGAATACATCCGGCTCGTCAAATATTGTGAAATCTTCTGAAATTAACGGTAATCGTGATAAAGCATCCGCATTTCCGTGATTATTTGTACTTTTATACTTTATATCATAGTGAAATGATTGTAAAAATATAGCATAATGTTGCATTCTAGTCGCACTAAGTACAGGTAAACTTTTATGTGGTGCAAATATTTGTAAAAGGGGCTTATGGTCCGTATATAAAGTGAATCTTCTACCACAGAGGAACTGATAGAATTTTTTAACACCATATACCAAACTATAAGCCTCTTTGTCAATTTGTGAATAACGTTGTTGAGTTTTAGTTAACGTTTGACTGGCGAACTGAATAGGCCGTTCTGAACCATCTGGGAACAGATGACTTAATACGGCTCCAACTCCGTATGGTGACGCATCAGTTGCTAAAATTAGTGGTAAACTTGAATCAAAATGACATAAAACTCTTTCAGATTGCATTTCTTGTTTTGCAGTATCAAATGCAGTCTGACACTGACTAGTCCATTTGAATTGGACATCATCTTTTATAAGATTAGTAAGTGGATATAGAATAGTACTTGCATTTTGAAAAAATCTGCGATAATAATTAATTAATCCGATAAATGCCCGTACTTGAGTTTTATTTTCTGGTTTCTGAACTTGTTGAATAGCTTCAATTTTTTTTTCAACTTTTTGTATTCCATTTTTATTTATTCTATATCCGCAATATTCAATTTCATCTGCAAAAAATACACTTTTTTCTAAGTTCACCTTCAAATTATATTCATTTAGTCGGTTTAATACCATCTCTAACCTATCTAAATGCGTTTTTTTATCTGGCCCCGATATTTTAATGTCGTCTAAAAACACTGTACAACCAGGAATATCTTGCAAAATTTGCTCCATTTGGCGTTGCCAAATTGCTGGAGCACTGGCTATACCAAACATTAATCGAGTTGGACGGAATAAACCTTTGTGTGTATTTAGTGTCAGTAAATGACGCATTTCTGATTTAACTTCCAAATGTAAGTAAGCTTTGCTCAAATCTATTTTTGTAAAAATTTTCCCCCCAGCCATTTTAGCAAACAGTTCATCGATTGTAGGTAATGGATGATCATCTACCAAAATATTAGGATTGAGGGTTGTTTTGTAATCCCCACATATACGTATTTGACCATTCGATTTAACCACAGGTACAATTGGTGTGGCCCAATCTGAATAATTCACTTTTTCCAAAATTCCCTGTTGAACTAACGAATTTAATTCTTTTTCGATATCTGTTTGTAATGCAAAAGGTACGTTTCTAGCTTTTATGAAAACCGGTCTAGCATTTTCCTTCAAAAAAATTGATGCTTGAATGTCCTTTATAACACCTATACCAGGTTGAAAAATATTTTTATACTTTGAAATTAAATCAGAAATTTTAATTTGATTTAATGAAACAAGATTGTCATTGACTATATCAACCTTATCAATGTTTTGTAAATTTATTTTTAAAAGTCTTATCCACTCTCGCCCTAGTAATGCATTTCGATCACCGTCAACTACATATAAATTAATGAAGTAATCTATGTTATGATAATTAACTTTCACTGTAATAAAACCCCGTACATTTAACATTGACTTGCAATATGAAATTAATTTCAGTTTTGTAGATTTCAAAACAGAATTACCAAAAAAAATTTCATATTCATTGAAGTTTATAATACTTACTGGAGCCCCACTATCTATTTCCATTTTAATAATCTTGTCATTAATTTTGACGTCTAATATGTATTTGTCTCGAAGAGAACTTGTAAAGTCTTGTTCCTGTAAATCAAAAAGTTCTTGTATGTCATTTGTATCTTGTAATTCCTCAACTTCATGTGTATTCAACGCTTTTTTAACTTTTCTGCATACTTTCTGTAAA